AAACGATTCAGATGGATTAGGTAAAACCAACACAAGAGCAGTAGTCAACCTTCTCTTAAGCTCTTGAAAGTTATCCTCACACTGAGTAGTCCACACAAACGCTTGCCCCTTTCTCATCAATTATGTCAATGGTAAAGCCAGCTTCAAAAAACCCTCAATGAACTTACGATAGTATCCGGCTAAACCAAGGAAACTTCGTATCTCAAAAACAGACTTAGGAGATCCCCATTCTGACACAGCTTCAATCTTAGATGGATCCACAATAATACCTCCACGAGATATCACATGTCCAAGAAAACTCACTTGCTCCAACCAGAACTCACACTTAGAAAGTTTAGCAAACAACTGATTCTCTTTCAGAATCGATAACACAATTCCTAAGTGCTCGACATGCTCCGCTTCATTATTCGAATAGATAAGAATGTCATCAATAAATACTACCATAAACTTATCAAGGTATTCATGAAATATTCTGTTCATGTATTCCATAAACACACCGGGTGCATTCGTAACACCGAAAGGAATCACGGAGTACTCGTAGTGCGCATATCTGGTTCTGAACGCTGTCTTCTGAATATCACTAGCCTTCACACGGATTTGGTGATAACCAGACCTCAAGTCAATCTTGCTGAACACACAAGCTCCTACTAATTGATCCATCAAGTCATCAATCCTAGGAAAAGGATACTTGTTCTTGATAGTAACTTTGTTCAACTGCCGATAATCCACACAAAGCCTCATCGTTCCTTCTTTCTTCTTTACTAACAACACCGGTGCACCCCACAGAGATACACTTGGTCGAATGAACTTCTTAACAAGTAACTCTTCAAGTTGGCTCTTTAGTTCAACCAATTCCGATGGTGACATCCGATACGGAGCCATCGAAACATGACTAGTACCAGGAACCAAATCAATAGAAAACTCCACTTCACGTTCTGGAGGTAAATCCATAATCTCCTCCGGAAACACCTCTGGAAAATCACAAACAACAGGAACATCCTTTCTCACTCCACTATCACCAAGATTTATGCTCGCCATCAACACAAACAATTCAGCTCCATCTTTGACACACCTCTTCACTTGCTGAGTAGACAAAAACGAAACACCTACTTTCTTGGACTCGAGAAAAAGAATTGCTTTAGAAAAACAATTGATATAGACATGGTTAGCTCTCAACCAGTCCATACCCAAAATGACATCAAGCTGACTCAAAGGAAGACATACAAGATCCACTTTGAAATCTCTACCATACATACGCAAAGGGCACTTCAAACAAATGACTGAAGTAGAAACCGAACCCATCGCAGGCATATCTATCTCCATACTTTTACCCAAATTAGATAACACAAGACCTAAACTAGTAGCATAATCCAACGAAATGAATGAATGTGTAGCACCCGTATCAACAATAGCAATCAAAGGTACATTAAGGATAAAGCAAGTACCTCTGATCAACCTCTCATCCACCGAAGTCTCGGTACCAGACAAAGCAAACACTTTTCCTCGCTTCTTCTTTGGCTTCGTGCACTTTGTACTAATGTTCCCTTGCTCGCCACAGTTGTAGCAAGTCACACTAGCACCCAACCTGCACTCGTTAGATCGGTGACCAATCTTCCCACACTTGAAACATGTCGGCTCAGCTTGGCGACACTCCATAGCATGGTGTCCCTCTTTCCCACATCTATAGAACTACACCGGAGTAGTAACTCCCCCACTTGGAATCTTTCCCACATTCATCGGTTGCTTCCCTTTTCCATCATAAGGCTTAGGATGCATTTTCCCCTTTCCTTTCTTGTCACTTAAACTCTTGTAGTAAGCACTACTATCACGACTATCCTCGTCATAGATACGACTTTTGTTCACCAATTCAGAAAAGCGAGTAATTTGTTGGTACCTGATTACTCTCTTCACATCCGGCCTTAAGTCGTTCACAAACTTCAAGCATTTAGATCTCTCGGCATTCACTGTATTATAGTGGGGACAATACTTGATCAATTATTGGAATTTGGTGGCATACTCCGCAACGCTATCACTCCCTTGTTTCAACTTCAAGAACTCCACCTCTTTCTTACCACAGACATCCTCGGGGAAGTAATTCTCCAAGAAAGTATCTCAGAACATTGCCCACGTAACCACAGTGTTCTCTTCATCGAACATATGACTTGTGTTAATCCACCAATATTCCGCTTCCTTCACAAGCATGTGGGTTCCGAATTTCACTTTCTGAGCATCGGTGTAATTCATCACTCGGAAAATCTTTTCAATGCCTTCAAACACTCTTGAGCTTCTTTGGGCGCATTCTCTCCTTTGAAAGTAGGCGGGTTGTTTTTCTGAAACTTTCCAAGAGCACGGAAAGCGTCATCAGTTCCATCATATGGCACCGGATTAGCTTGCGGCCTCTGATTCAAGGATCCAGCAAGCAATCGTAATGCCTCAGCAAGTGCATTATCATTCCTCCCAGCTACCATCTTCTTCTGAACAACACAAAAGTATTGATCGCGTCAGATACACAATCAAATACAATGGGATTAGTAACATTAAACCTGACAACTGACCGACAATACTCTGATACCACTATTGTAACACCCCTTCTAATAAACCTTGAATTAAACGATATAATTAAAATTAGAGAAAATAAAATTTGCACGGAAGGAGTGTCACAACATCAATTCACATATTCAAGAAAAATGGACATGACATATTCGTCACTTTAATAATTTAATCATATAATACATTCATGGCATATACTTTCTTTTTCATGCAAACGCAACAGAATCATAATAACTTCATCTCCAAAGGAGGAATCAAAATATAAAATTCAAGGCATTAAGCTATACGATTCATACACCAAACATGTTATCAAGTCATAATATACATACATCAACATATAATCAAAACAATGGATTATATACAAGTATAATCCATATACAAAATATACGAGTTCGAATGCGGACACCTAATCCCCAAATGTTACAACCAGAGCATCGACTCGATAAACCAAAATAAAATGGATTACAATCCAAATGCATTCGCTAAGCTAGTGTCTCGCACTACCGTCTTCGGTACCTGAACAATATCGTAGCAAGCATTTTCCAACAGAAGGGTAAGAATTCCAACAAACATAAGGTATGTAATTTAAATCAAATGAAAGGCATTAAATAAAGGAATCTTACTCTTTTTCCAACTCTTGCATAAACCACATAATATATTCATTTAATCCAATTCCCATATTCAACAACTCAAATAAATCAATCACAATCAATTTCATTTACCAATTAGCACATATTGCATAATATTCAACAAAACATCAGCTTAACAAAGTATGTATGTGCGACTCGACACAACGACATGACTCATGCATGTGGTACCAATCATCTATTATCCTTCGGATTTACCGATTGTCTATCCCTCAGACGGATAATCACAAAGCCCATTCCCTAAGCTTTCAAACCCCCACTCTGAGTTTGGGACGAGCCACTAGCCTCCACGAGACTAACGGACATCGCCTCTTGACACGACTTATGATGCGGTGTGCAATTCAACAACAACAATTATGCAAATCAAGACATCCCTCTATCTCAATTACAAGCATACATCACCACAATTCAATCTTATGAATTAATCTCACAACATTGCACAACAAACATCATTTATTTCATTTCAACAATTATCACATAACACCAAAATATTTATAAACCAAACACATCATTTCCGGAATCGGAAATTAACCAAATATCTCAAAAATACAACACACCTACAATTTAATTAATCTCCAGTCGAACTCAAAATATTAAGTTTTACCCATTAATCGCAACCGGTTATATTAATTAATCACACTGTTAATTATAATATATATTAATATATTAATTAAACTATTTTACTTATATATATAATATAAAACTAACAGTAGGTTAGTTAGAAAATTATATATATATATATATATATATATATATATATATATATATATATATATATATATATATATATATATATATATATATATATATATATATATATACTGTTATATAATGAAAATTAATATTTTATTAAACTAATTTAATATAATTAAATAAATACTATAATAACATTCTCCATTTCTCCTTTATCATTTTCTGGTCTAAAAAAAATAACTCCACCATAATTACCTACGCGCTTAACTTAGTTACCCCGTCAAATTTCATTAATTTCCGGATAATTAATTTTACCCTCTAAACCGGCTAATTCGAAACAACACAATCCTGATCGGTCTCCGAAAACGTCGCAATCTCAAAAAAATAACTCAACCATAATTACCTACGCGTTTAACATAGTTACCCCGTCAAATTTCATTAATTTCCGGATAACTAATTTTACCGTCTAAACCGAAAAAAAACCGAAATCAAATGCAATAAAAATATAC